CTGTTGAAAATACCACCAGGACAGGGCTATCTAAAGACACATTCGGCAGTGTGTTAAGTATACAAAAAGAGACACTGTACAGTTTAAAAACAAATCTTGATAAGTGAGTATGCATCCAAACCTAACTACAGGAACCAGGATAATGAGAAGGAACCAGGGAGGTAAAGAAAGAATCTGAAAGAGAAGAACAGTAGGAGACAGGCACTAATAAGGGAGATATGCATAAAAATGGGGTTATTTTAAAGTGAAGGAGGAGGGAAGGTTATACAAGGAACCTAGGGGAAAAAGGGAAAGAAGGAGCTCGAGAGGTATGACCATAAGGAGAAGGGTATTAGTAAGGGAGAAAAAATCCAGAGGTAACCATATTAGTCCAACAACCTACTGAAAAACTATACATACAATGAGCTCAAGGAACAAAATATATAGTCAAGGTTTATCTGAGAATGTTTAGTTTTTGCCCAAACACTATCTGCATAGGGCAAGGTAATTAAAAGTACCAGACTGATGGAACTAACCTTGGAAATCCAACATCCATACTTTGAGGCCTATACTAATTTGGTCAGAGGGACATAAAGGACAGTTTTTGCTCCTTGCCCTCCTAGATCGACTTCTTCCAGGGGACTATGAGCATCTCTCAAAATGTCCTGTAACTGTGGTGAGTCACCTGTCTTCTTGAGCAAGAAGACCATGGAGACTGCACCAGATGGACTTGAACCAGTGTCCAGTCTGCAAAGAGGAGGGTCAACACAGAGGAAATGTTTCCTCCATTCTTCCAAGTGAAGTCAGCCATGGTTGGGCAGGACTTTTGACTTATCTTCACATAACTGGTAAAAGATAGGAGCCAGGGGCTCCTGCCAAGCCCATGTGCCCCCCTGAGGAACAGATCCTCAAATGACCTTAAGAGTAGAAATAAATTGGTTTATTTGGGCCAACCACATGGTCTTAAACACCCAAAAGGAAAGCATAACCAAAGATTAAAGGGATCAATATAATTTTTTAAGAGTCCATGTGTATAACTAAAGGCTACCTAATAAGAAACAATGCCAGACAGGAGATACCTTCCTTTGAGTTGTTGGCCAGGGCAGCCCAAGAGACTCCCAGACAGTAACCCAGCACAGAACTTGGAAAATGAACAGCAGACCCCAATCTTATCTAAAGGAATATTGGCAACAGATTGCTGCTAGATGAGGAAGAGCTGATCTTCCTAAAACAATGAACTCTAGATTGGCTAACCCGATTCAGCCAATGGACAAGCACTGGAGAACAGCTGGGGGCTCCTACAACACAGTGGATAGTAACAGGGATTACAGAGTATATGGGCTCCAGTGGGAGGGGACTATGGGAGGGTGCCATTTGGGATGTGGGTATATATTTGAATAAGATTGTTTGGGATGTTCTGTATGAAATACACACAAAAAATGAATAAATAAAAAAGATCAGTTATATTTGAGAAAGAAGCATAAAAATTTGCTCCTGTTAATTAGTAGAGGTGAAACACATTACCACTGAAATCTACCTGATGATTTTTAGATCCATGCTTAGGTGCCAAGGATCTCAGAAAGTAACCGACTGTGACTAGTAATAATCAGATACATAGAGATTAGAGATGCATGTACAAACATCTAAGTGTTAGTAGCATTAAAAATGAGTTTTTCCTGTATGAAGCAGTATATTTTAAAATGAAATTGAGATCTTTTTAAAAGGTTAAAACTTCATTCAATTGTATGTCTTATAGGGTTTATACTGCGTTCAAGATTGTATAACTATTAATTCAACTGTGAACCTAAAAATTTATATCCAATATTGAAAGAGATGCATTTTTACTCTGGAAATTGTTATTAAATATGTTAATGCTGTAAATAAATGCTTCTTCTGATCATGTGGTTATTAAATAAATAATTAAAAAAAATAAAGTGTCAGTTATAATAGGATATTAAAAATAAATAAATAAAATATTACCTTTGATTTAACAGAAAAAACTCAATGGAAACATAGCGGGCACTGATTATGTTCACCACCTCTTACTGAATCCTATAGCCTTAAAATTTTAAATTTAACATTTTTAAGACTGTGTCTGCTATGTAGCCCAGGCTGACCTTTAACTTCAATCTTCCTGCCTCATCCACTGGAATAACTGAAATTATAGGCATGTACTATCATACCTAGGTCATGGAAACTTTTTGAAAGAGGAATAGTTAATCAAAATTCATATATAATAAATAGTAAAATAATGGATTTATTTATTTATTTATTTTTAACCATATGAAGCTGATGCCTTTTCTGTGTAAAACATAATATTACTTTTGTATTCAACCTAAATATTGCAGGTTTCTTTTGGGGGGATTAAGCCCAAAGCCTTGTGCATGCCAGGGAAGCATTCTGTCAACGGAACTAAATCTCAGTAATTATTACATTTTAACTTTTAAAAGATGGATCTTAATCTTGCCAAGAGTATTATTCCTATAAACATCATCATCAATGCTTTTCAGCAAATATTGTTTTTTACATTCAGAGCTCTCACTTGTATTCTAAGCTACATACAATATTCTTTGTCTAATCAAGACCTTCCAAATGCTTATCACTGGGGCATCACTGAGGTTGCTACTTGTTGTGAAAGTAAACATATCTATTAAGCCCTGGAAGGGGCTCAACTTTGATGTCTACTGTAAAAAGTTTTAATAGCACTGGGTTAAGTCACTTTTGCTGTATGGTTCATTTTATCCAATGCTTTTAGTTCAGAACTTAAGTTCTCAAAAAATAATTTGTGATTTGCCTCATTGTGAAAGTTGAACAAATTGTTACTATTATTACAGTTCATTAGAGTATATTATCTATATGTAAAATAAAATACAACGGATGGATCTAATACATATAGTTCGGAAAGATCACCGGTTTAAAAGAGAAAGCTTTATCAAAAATAAAGTTTCGGTATTATAAAACAGATTTTTATAAACAGATTTTTTACATGACTGAGGTTTTATAATTTATAAATTTGATAATATTTTTCTCTCTTAAAATGTACGCTATGCAAGCTGGGCATGGTGGCACATGCCTTTAATCCCAGCACTTGGGAGGCAGAGGCAGGAGGAGCTCTGTGAGTTCAAAGCCAGGCTGGTCTATAAAGCAAGTTCCAGGCCAGACCCTGTCTCTTTTTTTTGCAAGCTGGGCATAGTGGCACATGCCTTTAATCCCAGCACTTGGGAGGCAGAGGCAGGAGGAGCTCTGTGAGTTCAAAGCCAGGCTGGTCTATAAAGCAAGTTCCAGGCCAGACCCTGTCTCAAAAAGATTTTTAAAAAAAGGGGGGGGGTGCTATGTTTTTTTAGAGATTTTACAATAATAATACTAGCCACTTTTTTTTAATTAAATGAAAAACAGTAATATATTTCTCTCCATAACTTAAGAACAGTTTTTATCTGTTCATCTTCTTTGCAGAAGAACTGGGATGATAGAACAGGAAATTTTTACCAAGCACTTCACAAAAACGAATTGCTCCTTAAATTATTAGTAATCACAGATGTCACCGTCACACATTATTCCTCTGGTTTGTCACAGGTTCACGCTTGAAAAAATCCACTTATGACCAGTGCACAAGCCAGCTTCCTTCTTAAGGTTTTCTATCTGTCTCACTACAGTGATTAGAGCAAATGCTTCCTAACAATTCAGTTAATTTTATAGAAAATGGAGTCAACTTCTCTTGTTTCATTGTAATTGAACATTTTCCTGAACTGCTGTAAATGAACAACAGGTAAGCAGTATTTATCAGATTGTTTGGTAGAGCTTGCAGTTTGGATTATTCTATTTTCTTTTTGCAATTAATGAAATATATAATATACCTTGAGGAAAAAAAATACAGTGGTTGGCCCCTGAGCTTTCAAGAAGCAATGGATAGTTTGCTGTGAATGTATGCTGTACTCTAAGAGCCTTGGGGATGACGGCAGTGTTCTTGGTGGTCTGAGATGTCCTGCAGCCCTATGTTTCAGGATCTGGTCCACACTGTTTCCAAAGTCCTGAATCTCCCTTTGAAACCAATTTCAAATTCTGTGGTATTCAGAGTTTCAATGAGGCTTTCAGGGCTGTTGGATACCTTCTGACTTAGTTTGCTGTCTGTTGCTGTGATAAAACACTCTGACCAACTTGGGGAGGAAAGAGTTTATTTAGCTTACAGTTCCAAGGCACAGTCCATCAATGAGGGAAGTCAAGGCAGGAACTTGGAGGGAGCAGTGGAAGCAGAGACCATGGAGGATGCTACTTTCTGGCTTGCCTCCCAGGTCTGTGCTTAGTCTGCTTTCTTATATAACCCAAGGCTGCCTGCCCAGGGGTGGCACCATCCATGGTGGGTTGGACCCTCCCACATCACTCAACAATCAAGAATATGTCTCACAGACATGGCCACAGGCCAATCAGTTGGAGGAAATTCCCCAACTGAGGTTCCCTCTTCCCAAGTGTGTCAAAGTGACAACTGAAGCTATCCGGCACACCCTCAATGTGACAAACTCAAGGGCTGCTCTACCGTGCAGTGTCACAGGATTTCGGGATATGCAATTGAAGAAAGACTCCCCTCCATGGCTGCCTTCCCTATCCATTACACATGGTAACAATGGAAAGCACCGTTTAACTGCATTATCTCTCCAGACCCTACATCAGGTGTGCCCACCAAGCATGGAATGTACCAGTTGAAGCCAGAACTCGAATACAAAGCAGATGAGATGAAGGTGCTTGTGGTATTCAGATTCTCCAGAGGGAATCGGGTTTTTCTGACATTAGGACATTATATGGACAATTTATAAAAATAAAGCATCTCTCCATTGAGAGTAATTTTTGCACTTGGATGTGCGTGAGAGCTAGGAAGACAGGGTTATTGATCACTATCCATTTTTCCAGCTTCTAAAGACATCACTCCCTGTGGTTTGAACTGGAAAAATCTGGACATTTGGGAAGATAGATGGGTGGAGACTGGACAGCTGACCTGGATGCTTAGATGTCTCCTCCCCCTTGCTTACCAAGGTCCATGCTCTTGGAGGCTTTCAGATTAATTGATTCAGGCTGCCTGGCCGGTGTCATGGATCTGAAATTGATGTGCTGATCTGGAAAATATACTGCCGAATCCACCCCAGAGCTGTGGAAAGAAGTTATATGCCATATTTAGGTTTAGCATAAAATCAAAAAGGGAAGGAAAAGGGAGAGAGGAAGGAAGGAGGGGGATGGAGAGAGGGAGGGAGGGTGAGAGAAATCTCATATTGAACATATTCCCTCATCATTTTCTCTGCAGCCAGTACCTATGTATTTTAAACCAATTCTTGAATCTCAGATTTCGTTTATGGGATGTAGAAACTCCATTCCAAGTATTTTATCATGCACTGCTTTTTAAATAAAATATGCTCTGGCTAATATCATGTTTTACTCTTCAGTGGTTTCTGCTAATTGGGATTCTCTTGTATCATATATAATTTCAAGTGGAGAAGTATGCTTGGGAATCCCTAGCAATTCAAAGGATGTCACCAGGTACTGGCAGAGCTCAAACATAGGCTAAAAGATTCCTATGGGGTAAATGTTCTCTTCTTTCAAGGAGAAGTGAAAGGGGTACCTTCTAAAAGAAAACCATCTTGAATCATTGATGGAGGCAGGAGATTGACTTTTACCTTATTTGGGTGCATCTTCTAAAATTAATATTAACACCACTGAGTAGATAGTCTGCCCACTAATAACACCAAAATGAAGCCACAGGAAAAGCATAGTTGAAAATTTAGACACAAAATACAAGAAATACCCATTATGGGCTAGTAGTTGAGGTCCATCTAAAAATTTTCTTTCTTCTCTATACTTCATCTATTTTGAAGAAAGTTGTAGAAGACTATATAAATAAGTTTTAGATAATGGCTTACTTTTTCTATAAATATTTATATAGTTTTCATTAATTAAATTACAACTAATTTCTTCTTGGGTATCTAGGTCTGTCTGATAAAAAATATACATGGCTGACCATCTCAATATAACTTCTATCCTAAGCTCAGATGAGATGTCAATGCAAATCTGTATCCTCAGGCAATCTGACAGGCTTAAGGTTGGGCTTTAAAGAGTTTAGTATTTTAAATAATAAACAGCAAAAATTATCTTAATATTTAACAAACATTCTTCTAAAATGTAGAGAGCAAGTGTTACTTTTAAACTAAATATGCTAGGGTAAGTTTAATTTCTTTGTTAAAACTTACCATTGCTACTTAATATTGCCTGTCAGTGATATTAAAATATATAGCAATAATAACCATGCTAAGTGAAGAAGTGAACCTCCATTATTATAATATAATGGGTAGACTGAGAAAAATCTCCTGGCAGATGGAGCAGTGTGGTTGTCAAGAGTCAGGGCCTTAGAATATGATGTCCAGATCAAATCCTGGCTCTGCAGTTACTAGCTGTGTGACCCAGGCAAGTTATTGGACCTCTCAATACTTCAATGTCATTTCCTATAAAATAAGTATAGTTATATTATCTACCTTTGGTGGTGAGAGGATAGATTTGGAAAGTACAGAGACTATTGTCTGGTACACAACAAGTGCTATAGAAAGGGTTAGTTACTACATAAGCAAGCAAATAAAAAGACCTGTGCTTACTTCCTACCTCTAAGTTTTTAGCTTCTCCAGTTATCAATGCTTCTTACAGCCTCTTTGTTATTTCTATTTTTGTAAGACTCTTCATACATCTGTGACAAACAGCCTTTCTCTTCTATTGAGATTCACAATTCACTGAAAGGCTAGGGGCCAGAGAGGCATCAAAGTGTTTGGCCCCAGTTTTCACATCTACAAAATGGGCAGTAATAGAGCCACTCTGTAAGGTTGCTGTAAATGTTTAAATAAATTCAGATATGCAAAAATACTGAGAATAGTGCTTAGCACATGGTGAGAACTCCATCAACGCTATTTTAATAATTTTTTAATGTTAATAAGCTCCTAATAATCTTCCCTTTTTATTTCCATGGGTCAAGATGCCTTTGGAATGAGGGCTCAGGACACTTTACAATGGAAAGATTATTATACATGTTTTCATGAAAACTACTCAAAAAGTTGTTTATAACTCTTTAGAGTTATACTTTGGGGGTGGGGTTCCTTCTTGGTATGTAGATGCACTGTAGGTAGATGAGGCCACTGATTCCTCAGGTGTACTAGATGTAGCACAGTGATAGCCCAGTGTGCCAACTGTGTGAGAGCATTGAAAGTCCTTGACCCAGTCAGTGCCTGGTGGGAATATCCCCATTTTCCTATTAACTTTAAAGAATTTGGGAGATGCCACTGATACCAAGAGCTCTTCCTTGAGCTGTGGTGTCATGTGCTGTTAAATGTGTCATCCAACCTTCCTTTGTACTTAGGTTTTCACCCTTTGATCTTGTGGGATGATGTGGTTTTAGTGTCAGAAAAACTCATAGCCGCCACAGAATCAAAGACTTTAAGAGGTAAAAGGGATTAAAGGTCACCTCATCCTTTAGATAAGAGTCTGAGGACCGAGAGAAGGCCTGATATTCCAAAGTCACACAGCTGCTCAAGGGCAAAGCCTTTGACCTAAGTCACAAGCTTGAGTTAAAATGCTGGTCTAAATTCACAAACATCAAGTCTTTTCCTTCTAAAGTGCAGATTGCCTCCTAAACAACTTGCATTTTAGGTTAGCTTTGCTTTGGGCAGAGTGGTGTATATGATGAAATGAAAGAAAACCAAGTAGTCAAACAAAGCAGATGATGTACATTTTAATGAGTGCCTTTAGGGAAGATGTTTAGGACCAACATGAATATTCCTCTTTAAAACAAAGACCACACTGCATTTATAATGCTGTTCATGGCTATGGCAATCTGTCCAGGTGAGGAATGTATTGGCTAACCCAATTCAGCCTTTAGGTTATCTTATCAAACTAGGAAATAATTGACATTTCAAAAATCACAGCTCAAATTTTCTAAACTTTTGGGAAATAATGATTTTTTTACCTATACTTATTTTAAAAAACAAGGTGGTAATGACATTTGCTACAATAACATCATATTAGGATCTGTTAAAACAAATTTATTTTTATATAAATATTAGGATACAATCAAGGATAATCAGAGAAACAAAAGCTGCACTGTACATATGAATGTAGCAAATACATTATTTACATATAGATACATATGTCTGATTATGGCAATTAATTTGATATTATATACATCTGTTACCATTATTTTGATTATGACCAAATGTACAATCTGAAAACGTTCAGTAGAAAGATTGACTCTTGCCATGATATAAACTGAAAATGCAAAATAAAGCTGACATCAGATTGGCAGATATTTAAGGAGAGAAGTGAGGGGAATGTTAGACATTATGGGATTAAAGCCAATGCCAGCAGATAGAGCACTCAAATAATGAGTGCAGTATTGAATTAGTTAAGGTGAAAATATTTTAGGCATGTAAGTTAGACTGGTAAACTCATTTGTAATTGTATGCTACATATCGAAAGTGTTTGGAGTGAGGGCGACACAATGATTAACTATAAAATATGACATATTTTAATTTTGAAGGGCGTTAGCATGTGCTCGTGGCTGAGTGGGCTGCAGTGGAGGCTGTGGGAAGCTGGAAGTTGACAGCAAGCCAAAGACATGTCCTAGATAAAGGCCATGTTTGCAGCATGAACAACCAGGGAATCTCTCAGACAGAAACGATGCTCAGTGTCAAATTTATGCTGCATAATGAATAAATAAGGGCAGCAAGAAACATACGCCAGCATCCTAAATATGGTGACAAACCGGGAATAGGAAAGTCATGGAGGAGTCAGGAGTGAGTGTTCCAGGAGAACTGCCACCAATTAAAAGATGGGGATGAATATTTTGAAAGACGTGCCAAGACACTTATGTCTAGTTTCAGGTGTCCATGACTCTGCGTATATGCATGTGTGTGTGTGCATGTGTGTGTGGGGGGGAGATGAGGCTATGAATGAGAAAATATGAACAAGTACGGAATGACCAAATGTTGTTTATGGATCTCACCTTTAGATGCTGAAGAGCTAGAGGCAGTCCATGGATGCTGAAGGAGGGAGAATCAGTTTTCTCCCGGGAAGAGCTTCACGAGAGGTTATCTAACTCCAAGTGAGCAGCCCGAAACACAGGCCCCACTAAATGA